CTCCGGGTAAGCGTGGTACCCGCGTACGGGCCCGCCAAAATTTTTCCCGCGTAAATTCATAACTCGAGGTTTTGAGATGCTAGAAAGCTGAAATTTTAAGAGAGTATTCCCGTGCAAGCAGGTACTAGTGAGCTCAAACTCACCCCCCGACTAAGCGTGGTACCCGGGTACAGGCCTGCCAAAATTTTTCCCGCGTAAATTCATAACTTGGGGGTCTGGGATGCTAGAAGACTCTAACATTAAGAGAGTGTTTCTCGCCCAAATTAGTCTCATCGAGATCAAACCCAGCCCCAGGTCATGCGTGGTACCTACGCACGGGTTCACCAAATTTTTTCTCGGGTAAGCTCATAACTCGAGAACCTGTAAAGCTAAAAGACTGTAGTTTTAAGATGTTCCCGTCCAAGTAAGTCTCAGTGAGCTCAAACCCAGACATCGGGCATCCGTCGTACCCGCGTGCGGGCCCGTGAAAGTTTTTTTCAGTAAGTTGCTAACACAGGAGCCAGGAAAACTAGAAAGCTGAAATTTTAAGAGATTGTTTCCTGCCAGTTCTGGCAGCCAGTCTTAATTTGTTTAGCTTGAAGCATTTGTCAAAAGAACCGATACGGGTAGCGACAAAAATTGCGGGGAACTCTGCAAAAAACGCATCTTCGCACGGGAAGCCCGTGCGTTGGCCAATTATTTTGAAAATGACCCAGCTGTTCAATGAGCAATTTTCCCGCCAATAATTTAAATGCTCGTACACGAGAACCACGCGTAAACGGAGGCTGAATTTGAAACCTTTAAGTTGTATTTGGATGATGAGTATTCTCCTAAAACCTCAGCTTTCCAGCTTTCTGATTCCCAAGTTAGCCATTTCCCCGCCAAAAAGTTTTACGAGGCCGTACGTGAGAACCACGCATGCTTTGGGATTGGATTTGATAAGTTCTACATGGGTTAAGAACATCTCTTTAAAATTTTAGCCTTCCAGCTTCCCTTGTTCCCGAGTTAGCCACTCTCCCGCCAAAAATTTTCACTGGCCCGTACGCAAGGACCGTACGTACCTCGCGGCCAAATTTGGTATTTTTAGCTCTCGCGGCGATTGGGAACATCCCCTTAAAATTTTAGCCTCTCAGCTTCTCAGGATCCAGAGTTAAAAATTTCCCAGCCAAAAATTTTCATGGGCCGTACGTGAGAATCGCACATGCCCGTGGGCTGAGTTTGATAACTTTAAGTTCTACATAGGC